GGAAGTGACGATATAGTTTTAAGCCAAGGAGTGACAGGATCTGATTTGCATTTTAACAGGATCCCTCGGGCTGCTGTGTCTGAGAGTAACCTGTGAAGGACAGGGTGAAGCCAGTTAGGAAGGCATTGCGATAATCCAAGAGAAGAAAGTATCTTAGACCAAAGTAGTAACAGAAATGGAGGAGTGGTGAGATTCTGGACATATTTTGAAAATAGAATCAAAAGATTTGCTAATGGATTGGTTGTGGGGTATAAGGAAAAGAAAAGGAGTTAAACAGAATATCAAGGTCTTTTACTTGAGCAACTAGAAAAAGGGAGTTGCCGTGAACCAAGAGGGAAGACTAATGGGGTGCAGGCTGGGGAGAAGATCAGAAATTCAGTGGTGAGGATTTACGTTCTAGATCCCTTTTGACATCCAAATGCAGAGCCCAAGTAGGTGGCCGGATTTATGAGTTCGGAATGCAGGAGAGTGGTTGGGCCCAGAAATAAATTTATGGGAGTCATCAATGAATAATAGATGGTATTTAAAGCTCAGAGATGATGAGATTTTTGAGTAAATGACAGTAGATGGAAAAGAGAAGTCCAAGGCATGAGTCCTGGCACGGTCTAGTGTTTATGACTGAGGAAAAGGGAAAAAACAAGCAGGAAAGACGGACCAGCCAATGAGGAGGAGAAGGAGAAGAGTATGGTGCCGGGAAGTTCTGGAAGCCAGGTGAGGATGTCTGCAGGAGGAGGGAGAAAGCCACTATGCCCACCGTCACTGCTGACAGAGTGAGTAAAATGAGGGCTGAGAATCCTTCAAAGTCAAAGTCATTGGCGACTTTGAAAAGAATGATGTCAGTGGAGTGGTGGGGGTGAAAGTCTTGTTGGAAAGGTTCAAGAACACATGAAGAGGGGGCGCCTGGGTGGCTCAGTCGTTAAGCGTCTGCCTTCGGCTCAGGTCATGATCCCAGGGTCCTGGGATCGAGCCCCGCATCGGGCTCCCTGCTCCGTGAGGAAGCCTGCTTCTCCCTCTCCCACTCCCCCTGCTTGTGTTCCCTCTCTCGCTGTCTCTCTGTCAAATAAATAAATAAAATCTTTTAAAAAAAAAAAAAAAAGAACACATGAAGAGGAAGATTGCAGTCAGTGAGTACAAACAATGCTTTGAAGGCCATTAGTTGTAAAGGGAAGAGAGAAATGGGTCTCAAGCTAGAGGAGGAAGTAGGGTTGAGAGAGATTTTTAAGAATAGGAGAAATAACTGCATTTGTACATTGGTGGGAAAGATCCAGTAAGGAGGGAAAAAGAGAAGACGCAGGTTTAATGGGCTCAGTCTGGTAACGTTAAGAAATATCTACATTGTATTGAATGCTTGTATGTATTGGGTTTTTATATATGGTATTCATTCCTTAAAACATGAGCTATACCATGTATTATCATTTTCATTTTTCCAATGGGGAAATTGAGACTTTGAGTCCCTTGTCCAAGGTCACCCAACAAGGATAGAGAAGAGCTGAGTCAGAGGAAGCTCAGGCCATATTGCTCCTGAGGGGACTGACCACTCCTCCGGTTGTGGAGCTCCCAGGCACCAAAGGGGCACGTTTACTGTTTCACATCCCTGCCTGAAGGAAGAGTGTGGGTGCTTCTCATAATCATGACTAGAGACTTCTACTTTCTTTTCTTTCTTAAAGTCTGAAATAGGAGACAACAGAGAAGTTGTCCCAAACCTTGATATGTTGGACAGCTAATGAATAACGTCATGTTGTGTGTTGGAATATACAAAGGGATAGAAATCAAGAGTCCTGGTTTTAGTCCAACCATCCCCATATGGCTATATTATTTATGGCAAGTCAATGAACTTTGAGTCTTAGTGTCTTCATTAGCAAAACAGAAATAAAAAAATCTGTCCTCTCTGCTTCTTGGGTGGTTGTGAAAAAAATCACCCTATATCCCCCTCTCCTCCAGGGCTCCAACGATATGTGAGAACTTATGCCATTTCCGAAGTATTTGACATATGGTGGCACCTGTCGTTCTCCACCTGATGCACAGCAGAGCCCCCAGGGAGCTTTTACAAATATTGCTCTCCTACTAGGATGTGGAGCAACTAAAACTCACAAACATGCTAATGGGAGTGTAAATTTGTACAACCACCTTGGAAAGCAGTTTGGCAGTAGCTATTGGAGTTGAACCAACATCTCCCTGTGATCCAGCAATTCTACTCCTAGGTTTATACCCAAGAGAAATGTATGCACATGTGCACCGAGGGACCTGTACAGAAATGTTTGCAGCAGTATGATTTGCAATTGCTCAAGCCACAAACCACTCAAATGCCCATTAACAGCAGAACAGATTAACAAGTTGTGGTATATCCATATAATGGTATACTGAACAGTATTAAAAGTTTGCACATATGGCTACAGCCACACAGATGAATCTCACAGATACGGCATTCAATGAGAGGAAGCTGACATAAAAGATTTCCCTCAAAACATGAGATATCATAAAATAATGAAAATCGGGAAAATCAGGAATCTCTATGGTGTTATAAGCCAGGACCTTTAGAGAAGATGAAATGTCTAACATCCGAGTGTGTGTGTGTGTGTGTACCTCAACAATGGTTATAAAAATAAGAACTACACATACATTAGATAATTCACTGAGTTGCCCACTTACGATTTGTGTACATTTTTGTCTTTGTATTTTACTTCAATTAAAAAACAAAACTGCTGCCTGCTTCCTGTCTCAGCTCAATTAAAAATCCCTGTGGGGGAGGGGCGCCTGGGTGACCCAGTCAGTTGGACATCGGACTCCTGATTTCGGCTCAGGTCATGATCTCGGGGTTGTGAGATCGAGCCCTGCCCAGAGCTCTGTGCTGGACATGGAGCCTGCTTAAGATTCTCTCCCTCTGCCCTTCCTCCCCTACTCGTGCACACTCATGCTCTCCTCTCTCTCTCTCTCTCTCAAAAAAAAAATCCCTGGCAATGAAGCCCTGGCATGGGCACTTTCAGGAGCATATCCAGGGCTGAGAAAACTGCCCTCCCCCTTTGTTGGCACCCTCCCCTCCAGGAGGGAAAACTTAGAGCTATGTGCTTGGGTGCTGACTGGGTATGCCTCGGAGCGGTGGGGAGGAGAGAAAACTGGAGGGCCCTGTGTGCACAGGGTCAACAGCAAGACTGGCCCCTCGGGGGTACACCTCTGAGGGTGAGGGTGAGGCCACTCACGTGGGGCAGTGGCTGAAGACTACCTTCAGGGATCGCCGGCTGCCACCCTCGCTCAAGGGATTCCTGAATTTAATTTCAAGTTCGCTATTCAGAACAGTTGCTGCAGGGCACCTGGGTGGCTCAGTCATTAAGCATCTGCCTTCGGCTCGGGTCATGATCCCAGGGTCCTGGGATCGAGCCCCACATCGGGCTCCCTGCTCAGTGGGGAGCCTGCTTCTCCCTCTCCCACTCCCTCTGCTTGTGTTCCCTCTCTCGGTATGTCTCTATCTGTCAAATAAATAAATAAATAAAATCTTTAAAAAAAAAGAACAGTTGCTGCAGATTTTAGTTATTTTTATTTGCCTGGCCCTTTGTGGAGATCTTGACTCTTTTATACTTTTGTGTTGTACTGTAGTGACCTAGCTGTTTACATTCTTTTCTGTCTTCCTTTTAACATATAATCTTTTCATCCACAAGTGACACAGCCACATCCAAAGGCTGTACCATCACATGCCGGGAGGTCTGGACTGCTTTTCTAACTCTTGTCCCACATGTGATGGACAAGCAGATTTTTTTTTTAAGATTTTATTTATTTATTTGCCAGAGAGAGAGAGGGAGCGTGTAAGTAGGGGGAGCGGCAGGCAGAGGGAGAAGCAGGTTCCCTGCGGAGCAGGGAGCTCGATGTGGGGCTCGATCCCAGGACCCCGGGATCATGACCTGAGCTGAAGGCGGATGCTTAACCGACTGAGCCACCCAGGTGTTTGGACAAGCAGACTGTAAGTGCACTCCACTCTTAATCTTTGCTCTTCTCCACTTTACTCAATAGAGAAAAGTGTATAAACAATGAAAACCTTTAGTATCTCTTGATCATTACTCTGAATTTATAAAAGAAAACATTTAATGGGCCAAACTCTGTAGCTTGATAGAGATCCTACACTTTATGCATTTTTTTGAGGCTTTCCCAAAATAATACCTCTACAATTCAACCCTAAATAGCATTTTAACACGGCTGTGGCCTCTTTACATTTATTTAAATAGCTGGAGATGCTTTTCTAAGACTTTTTAATTATAAAATATTCAATGTATTATCAAGAGAAATAAACTTTGTTATAGCTCTAAACTCAAAGCATATTTTATTTTTTTTTAAGATTTTATTTTTAAATAATCTCTACACCCAACGTGGGGCTCAGACTCACCACCCCGAGATCAAGTCGCACGCCCCACCACCTGAGCCAGCCAGGTGCCCCAAAGCAAATTTTATTGTATAGATTTTGATATAAGGGGAATTGAATGTATAAATATCTTTTTAGATGCAATAATGTTCTTCATGTGATCATTATTATTTCTCAGAAAATCTGTACTTAAACAAATTTATGGGGTAGGAAAAAAGTTGCTGCTTATTGTGGTTTATGATTGGATTATGGTTGATTTCAGTGTTTTCATTTCTATGCATTTTTTTGTTCCAGTAAAAAAAAAAAAGCTGAGAAAAAAATAGAAAATCTGAAATACAGGCATCCCTCTCTATGTAGGAGTTAAGGTCTTAATAGCCAAGCGGCTCAACTTCTGGAACCTGTAGAATCAGCAACCCCTGAGAGCATGTTAGATCTCGAATTCTAGTGCCCACTCCAGAGTCGCTGAGTTAGAAACGCTGGGCCTGGGCCCAGCAATCTGCTCGCACAAACCCTCCAGGTGACTCCGATCAGCCCGAAATTGAAGAACTGCTCTGAAGAAGAGTGTGAGAAAGCACTGTGGCTCGTTTGGCAAGCCCTTGAAGTGATCCACTCTGGGAATAGGTGATTTGTTTGGTTAAGTCTGGTTTTTGCTCCCCTCCTCCGCCCAGTCATCTGTCCCCCAGTCAAAGCTAGACCAGTAGTTTTCAACGACGGCTGGGAAGCTTTTTTAAAAAATGTGTCTCCCCAGATGGGTCCTGGGCATCCAGGTGCTTCTCATGTGCGCCAGGGTTGATAAACTCCGTTCTATATTCAGGTACTTTTGTGGTTGAGACAGATGATTGTTAACACCTGCCCCCAAATTCTTTGGGTTGTTTCCTGCAAGCCCTGTGAAGCAGAACTCAGGCCTCCAGCGGCGGCTTGTCCAGACCTAAAGGTGTTTCCTGAGGGCCGATGCGGCCCCGCCTCGCAGGTAGCTCTGCAGACGACCGAGACCCGCAGCGGACAGACGCGACGCTCCCTCCTGGCGCGCCCGGGCCTCCAGCGGCCAGCTCCGCCGCGCAGCCCGTGCCGGATGCTGACGGCCGCACCGTGAGTTAAACCTTCGGTTTGGCGCACCGAGAGAATGTCAGAAAAAATGCCCCCTTTCCTTATCTTCCTTATCTAAAGCCTGGGAGCCCCTTTTCGCTTTCAGCTCCCAAAAGACCTACTTGGAAGGCCCGTCTTGGTGGTTTCATCTTGAAATGTCTGCCCCTCCCCCACCCCCCAAACTTTCCTGCAAAGCCCAGGAGGGACCACTCAGTACACTCATGAGGGATGTTCTAAGCCAGTGGTCCTTAAAATGTGGTGGCTGGCGGGGATATGTGTCAGCAAGAGTATCACCTGGGAACACGTTAGAAATGCAAGCTCCCATCACCACAAGACTGAATAATAATAGGGCAGGAGGAAACTTTTGGAGGTGATGGATAGCTTTATGGCATAGATTGGGGTGATAGGTCCACGAACGTGTATTTCTCTCCAAACTCATCAGGTTGTGTATGTTAAAATCTATAGCTTTTTGTATGTCAATCATACCTCCATAAAGTAGGTGTTTGGTTTTGTTTTTTGTTTTTTTTGTTTTTTTTTAAGAAATGCAAACTCTTGGGCCCCACCCCAGAACTTCTGTGTCAGAAACTCAGGAGATAGGGCGCAGCCATCCGTGTGTTCTTCTGAGGCATGCTCACATCTGTGCGGCTCTACGCCGGTGCCTCGCAAGATTGTGAGACATGCACAACCTCAGGCCCCAACCCAGGCCAACTGAATTAGAATCCCAGGTTCCTGGGATCACATTGGAGTTTGAAAAGTGCTGCTCCGAAGCTCCCCCTCTCGATCTGGTCAGTGTTAGAACACCAGAAATGTTCTTTTATCCGATCGCAGCTTCTTAGCTCCCCACAGAAATGCCATCACAAGATAGTAATTTAAGTGTGAGAAACACAGGTATGAGCTACTGTTCTGTATTTGTGGAAGATAATTTATGCTGCCATTTACCACCCCCTCAGATAAATAGTCATTCTGCCAATTTTCTTAGCCTTCCGAGCAAGCACAATGTCTGTTTGTTTTGTTTGTTTGTTTACATGGGAGTTGAAGTTAGGAACCTCGTACATAAGATTCCAGGAGGGACACTTTGATTTTTACCTCAGTTCGGAGAACTAGCCTGAGTTCTCTCCTATAGCTGTCCTTTCTCCTGTAAGGGATCTTTGCGTTTTAAGTCTTGGGGTAACAATACTGTTGTGGCTGCATTTTTTTATTGTAAGTGGCCTCAAATACAGTGTGAGAAGATAAGGCGGTAAGATAGAAGTGCGTGATTGACACCTGGAAGCCTCTTAGCCTGTATAAAGCATAACGATTTCAAGGGCTCAGTTCAAAACCCTCTCTGTGAAGTTTTCTTGGCAGCTCTCCATCAGCTGTAATTCACATTCACTCAATTACAGTATTTGTTATCTGTCATTGTAACAGATATCAAGTATTTCCCAGTAGTTTGTGAGTTAATGTTTGTAAAGCGCTTGAACAGTATAGGAACATAGTACATACTCAGATTACAGTTGACCCTTGAAAGACACGGGGTGGAGCAATGTGGGTCTGCTTATATGTGTTTTTCTTTTTTTTTTTTTTTTTACATATACGGTGTGTACAGCATATAACGCAGATAACATACAAAATATATGTTTATATTATTGGTGAGGCTTCTGGTCAACACTAAGCTATTAGTAGTTACATTTTCAGGGAGTCAAGTTACATGGAGATTTTCGATTGTGCCCCTACCCCCCCACATTATTCAAAGGTTAACTGTATTACTATTACCATTATTGTTGTTTTGTTTATATATACTTGTGTGTTATTCCTGTTAGATCTCTTCGAGGTGAGGAGAGGGCTTTATCTACTGATGGAGTCCCAAGTAAGCCTGGTTTATGCTGTACTCACAAGAGGCTCTTACAGGAGAGTAAATAAGTGCTTTGGAAAGAAAAATATGATTTATTGCCATAATTGGAGCATTGGGTCTCAGTCAATCCTATCCAGAGAGAGAAGTTGTTGTGCCAACAAGGGGAGCACATCCCTTCGCCCCAGTCCCAGAAGGCATCAGAAAAAAAAAAAGGAAGTGAAGGATAGATGTCACCAAAGTGTCAGTGAAACTCAATTCAGAAGAAACTCTGACCAAAACCAAAATGGAACCAACTGAAAATGTTAATGGTCATTTTTAGTAAGTCACAAGAATTTGAAGAAAGGCTATTTTAATAAGTAGAACAATTTCATTTTCCATGCAGCCTAGGAAATTAAGATCTAGATGGTTTCTTTTACACAATCTCTGGTCAAATTTGTACCTCTTTTGCAGAAAGCAGTATGGTTTCACCTTAAGTAACTTGGAAAAAAGAAGCAAAAGGGATAATGTCTTACGTATCTGTTTACAGCAGAAAGAACACACTGGATGTCCTATGTGCGGGTCACCTGACATAGTACTCTGGAACAAGTTCAGGCCAGAGACGAAAACGGAGGAAAGACGGGTTTGCATGATGTGTGGAAGCGGGTTCGTGGTGAAACTAGCAAAGCCTGAGATTCATGGCTCCACCCTGAAGTACCAGACTCTTCCAAAGCCCCTAAAGGGACCCTGGCAATTTTGTGTTTGTAATTGTGCATTAGTGTTCATAAATGGGCTTCCCAAATCGTGTAAGTGTCAGCCCCTCCAGGTCTGTTCCTGATGAAATGCCTCTCTGTAGCTCTTGGCTTTCCACATTGACTGTAATCATCTTCTTCCGCCTGGCCAGATGGGGGGTGCAACAAGGAGAGGTTGTGCTCGTGGGGAAGGGGGGAGGCCTTGGAGAATGGCTGGGAGGGGAGAGACCAGCACAGCGGAGTTCAAAGTGATGCACTGAAGAGACTAGGATGGCTTCCTTCAAGGGGTGTCCTTCTAGGGTGGTGCTTCTCAGCCGCAGGTAATTCCCCCCAAATGCCATTTGGCAGTGTCTGGAGACACGTTTGGTTGTCATGGATGAGTTGGGATGTGGAGGTACTACTGGCTTCTAGTGGGTAGAGGCCAGTGATGTTGCCAGTAATGTTGCTAAACACCCTGCAGTACGACAAAGAATGATCTGGCCCCAGGGCTCAGTAGTTTTGATGTTGAGAAACCCTGTTCCAGGGTATTCCTTTTACTGTGGGTCACCGACAGCTCAGGTTGTCAAAATGAACGATCAGCAAACAGTATAAGGTAAATTCTCAGTTTCGTCTTCCCCGTCAGCTACTTCCCCTTCATCAGCAGGTACCTGGCTCTTCTTTAGTGACTTCCACTCCTACCCACCCCCGGCCCCCCCACAGACACATATGCAAAGGCTGTTAGGACGGGGGCCTTTCATGAACACACGGTGAAAACCTGGTTCTGGCAGCGATGTGGGAGAGAGAGGCCCTCCTCTGGCCACGGGACTAGGCTCCAAATGGCCTCAGTGCTATGGGAGTATCCCAGGCACTGGAGTGGGGCTTCGCTGTGCAAATCTCCATCACAAGAGCAGCTTCCCCCAGTCTAAAACCATCCGCCATTTACTTCAACATTGAATGTTAATACAATGTGTTGATGGAAATGACCACACCCCCTCCCAGGCTGCTGAACCCTACTAGTTCAAATCCCAGAGTTCCTAATGGACTGCCCCAAATTCCTGCCCTCTGACCTCAGCCGGTCCTCCACTGCCTCTTGGCCTTCCTTCAGGTCCCCTTCTGATTGTGTCTCTGCCTTATTCCCATGGTGGCTCCCTTCTGTCAAGGCCCCAAACCATCCTCTCCCTACTTCCCTTCTGCAGATGGCCGTGTCTCTTGCTTTCCTAAGTAACACAATAATCACAGCTGCTACCATTTATTCCACAGCTGCAAGTACCAGGCCGGTGCAGGATAGATGTTCCATCTGTGGTGAGTGTCGCTAACCCCACTTTGCAGATGATGAAACCAGAGCGTAAAGAGGCTGCTCACTCTTCCAAGTCACAGTGCGGGCATTTGGTCCCAGGACTGCCCATCTCCAGTACGAACTCCCTATACTTCTCTCTTCTTCTGAAAATCTATCTCTGGGGCACCTGGGTGGCTCAGTTGGTTGAGCAACTGCCTTCGGCTCAGGTCATGATCCTGGAGTCCCAGGATCGAGTCCCACATCGGGCTCCCAGCTCAGCGGGGAGTCTGCTTCTCCCTCTGACCCTCTTCCCTCTTGTGCTTTCTATCTCTCATTCTCTCTCTCTCAAATAAATAAATAAAAATCTTTAAAAAAAAAAAATGAAAATCTATCTCTGTCTTGATCCCTAGGTCTTGAAAGAAGAAAAGTTCTTTCAACCCAAAGCTTCCTCCCCAGTCTTGATCTAAGATTCCTTCTGTCTCCCACTTTATGTCACCCCCTACCCTCCCGCCTCCTTCCTCTGTACATGCATCCGGTGTGCCCTGCTTCCCCAACACAATCCTGCCTCATCTGCTTCCTTTGCTTCACTATCAACTTGTCCAAAGGAAGAGTGTCTCAGTTTGACCCATCTAGTCACCTATTCCCTGGGCAAAGCCTCATTCTCTTCCCTGGTTCTGCATTTCCTTGGGTCCCCTTTCCTTCCTGGATGGGCACCATGTCCACCTCTTCCCCTATAGTTTCTCGGTGCCTGGGATAGCATCCTGAAACGCAATAGTGATGGTGATGACCTCACACTGACAACTGGGCCAAAACCAGACAAACCCTTCCAGGGGCCAAAGAGATGGCTGAAGTAGGGCTCCCAGGGAAATTCCTTTGGGCTGGAGTTCTGTTCAGCATAATGACAACACACTATTGCTATTTTTAGAGCAGTGATTACCAAATGGAAATACCCTACTTCACCAGAGACTGAGATCTGAAGTCACTTGCTTCGTATCTAAATGTCATTCGAATCTCCACCGTAACCAAGGCTCTGATCAACAGAAACACATGACTACAAGCTAGGGGATTCAATTCCTGTTTTTTCTTCCTGTTTGTCCTCTGCTAACATAAAAAAAAATATACCTAAAAGAAACTTCTTGATATTGTTATCCTGATAGTATATTACTACTACATATGTGGAAATGAGTTAAATGAAACAATAAATATTTTTTGAGCTGTTGGCATCAAATGCCATCAGTTTTTAAAAGGCAAGTAAATAACATCTGGGCACAAAATCTGTATTTGATGGCAAAGATCCCTTCTCTGGGTAATTCCATTCTCCTACCCTCTCCACTGAAATGTCTACAGGAATTTCCGTAAGTTGGTATTAGTAAGCTTTTGTCTAATGTTCATCTGTATTGGTTCATTCCTTCATTCAGCAAATACTTATCAAAACTCTGCTTAGTCCTTGGGCAAGATAGATACAGTGTCTCACCTTCAGAAGTATAGTCTAATCTGGCACTTACAATTCAGTATGATGGGGGCTGGACAAGATAAATGTAGGATGTGGTTGGAATATTTACACAGACACTCCCCCCAGACTTGGGGGTGACTGGTCAGGGACAGTTTCCAGGAGAAAGTAATATCTAAGGTAAAACCTGACTGCATTAGATGGAGCTGGAGAGGTAAAGTGAGGGGAGGGGTTGTCCCAATAAAAAAGAAAGCATTCTAGAAGACTCATATCAAGAGAGAAAGAGACCTAGAGACAGAAAGGAGAGAGGTTTAGGGAACTGAAAAAGAAGTTCATTCTTATTGGATCAGAGAAGAAGAGAATGGAGAGAGACTTTCATCATCATCATAGCTAATACTTTAGGTACATAAGGTGGGTGCCATTGTTACCCCATTTTACAGATGTGGGAACTGAAGCACTAGAAGTTTAAAGTAACTTGCCCATGGTCATCCAGCCAGTATGTAGCAGATCCCAATGCAACCCAGTATGGGTGTCCTTAACAGACACAATACTGCCTCCCATCCTGCCTTTGACATAATCTTCCACACTCCTTCACAGCAATGGTTTGGCAGTCCCAAGAGAAAAGAGTAGGTTGAGGCAGTGATATTTAGTGGGAAGACTTTGTGGAAATCTTAACCGAAGAAAGCCTGCCCTCCCTCATGTGTTCCCCTCTGTAAATCAGATTAAGGTAAAGGTACTGCTCTTCTGAGGAGAGTTTTCATTTAAATCGGGGGGGAGGGGTAGGAGGGTGGACAACAAGTTTTGAGTACACCATCTGGTAGGGTGGGACAAAGGGAAACATTTTGGAGGCATCTTTTTGGCATAGAAGGGTTGGTATGGATCACTAAACTCAATTTTTTATTAGGGAATGACTTAGGCTTTTGAAAGTTGCACATTAGAAGGTCCCTCCCCACCCCCCAATACTAAGGACATAAGTGAAAATTTCTCAAGTTGACTCTAGAAGTGAGTTGGCTTATTCAGAGGTAGCTGGGTTTTGTCTAATTCAGTGACTGAACTAAAACAACAGCTTCAAATCCCTCTGGGGGGGGGGAGGCAAAGGGTTTAATGCCATAAACTTTCCAAGCAAAGACTTCAAAGTGGTGAAGTGTGTGAATAGTTCACCCAAGCATGGTGTATGGTGATTAGACTTCTTAATACCAAATAATTTTTTTTTAAAGATTTTATTTATTTATTCATGAAAGAGAGAGGCAGAGGGAGAAGCAGGCTCCCAAGGAGCAGGGAGCCCGACGCGGGACTCGATCCCAGGACTCCGGGACCATGACCTGAGCCGAAGGCAGACGCTCAACCATCTGAGCCACCCAGGTGCCCCAAGACCAAATAATTTCTCATGGACAGTTACCTACCAGTTAGATTAAACCTTGAGCCAATGAGAAACCCAGCATTTGTTTATGACTAACTCTTCCTAGAATAAAAAGATTTCAGTTTGGAAAGTACTGTATGCCACCCTTCCTCAATCAAATTCTCACTTTTCCAGTTTCATCCCAGTTGCCTAGTTCCCTCTCAAGAGAGTAGACAGGGATAGGTAATATTTTAGTTGCTGAGACTGGCTTGAGTTAAAATGCCCATCTTGGGGCGCCTGGGTGGCTCAGTCGGTTAAGCGTCCAGCTCTTGATTTTGGCTCAGGTCATGATCTCAGGGTTGTGGGATTGAGCTCTGTGTCGGGCTCAACTTGTCTGCTTGTCCCTCTCCCTCTACTCCTCTCTCTCTCTCAAATAAATAAATAAAATCTTTAAAAAGAGAAAATTCAGGAATGTCATTATATGATGATTAACACTTTTTTTTTTCCAATAGGGACATAGGCTGTCCCTGCCCTTTAGATATATATTGTAATAGAAACACAACCATTAGCAACAAACCTTTATCCTCGTTTGTTTCTCTGTTGCCATTTGGTCTACTTGTCACTGTAGCTAGAAGTATGATATGGTGCTTCTGCCTTGGGGTCATTGAGAGAGTGATTGAGTGAAGGAGCAGAGGGGAAGTGAATGATTAAAGGAACCCAACCCTGACCCAGACAATGGCTTCAAGAATACTGGAACAATGATCATGCCATGGTGATTTTCATCCCATAAACAATTATTCATTCAAACAGATGGAGACTTCTATGAGCCATACATTTGGAAGATAGAAGGTCTGACCTTGAGCATTCACATTTAGGACTCATCCCAAAGTGGGCCCAGCAAAGGTGCTGAAAAGGCCTGAGGCTTATCTATAGTTAGCTCTGCTTTCTCTTTTCGCATGACACAGTGGGTGGTGTTATTTTCCACGCTCCTCAGGCCTCAACTTGCCTACAGTAGTAAACTATAAAGGGACAGACTCCAAGTGACTTAGACAAAAGAGGGAATTTATTTTTATTTTTTTATTTTTTTAAAGATTTTATTTATTTATTTGACAGAGAGACACAGTGAGAGAGGGAACACAAGCAGGGGGAGTGAGAGAGGGAGAAGCAGGCTTCCCGCGGAGCAGGGAGCCCGATGTGGGGCTCGATCCCAGGACCCTGGGACCATGACCTGAGCCGAAGGCAGACGCCTAACGACTGAGCCACCCAGGTGCCCCAAAAGAGGGAATTTATGAGAAGGCTCAGGTAACAGGAAGAAAGTTCAACAACTCAGTCCCAGGAAGGACAGGGCATTGGTTATGAGGGAACCAGGGAATCGATGTCTCCCTCGTCCCTCTTCTCCATCTTCCAATCCTCCTCCTCCCACTAAGTCTTTGCAAAGGAGGCTTTCTTCTTTCTCTCTGCAGACAAGGGTCCTCCCCATGATGGTGATGCCACAGCCTCACACTTCCCAGCTTCCAACCCTCTCTTTCTCTATCTCTCTGCCAGGCTCAGCCAGTGGTGGAGTTCCTCAAGGTTCTATCCAAGGTGCTCTTACTCCCTTCTCAGAGATCTCATGCCCACAGCTTCAACCACCATCTCTATTTAGAGGATCCACTAACTTATTCTCCACCACACACCTTTCTCCAAGCTCTCCAGTGTACCCAAATGCCTACCTGGCATCTACCCTTGGGTATCCCAAAGGCATCTAAAACTTTCCCCTTCTTTCTTGGTAACAGAATTTCCATGTTGTTGCAAGTGGCAGTGTACCCAGCTAAAATAAGACTATATTTTCCAGCTTCCCTTGCAGCATGGGATGGACAATGAAATGTACGCAGAAGTCATGAAGTTGAGCTTCTTGGGAAAGTCCTTTACAAAATGCCAACTCAGCTAGAAGTTTTGTCATTTTGCCCTTAAACCTTCTTCCTCCTTCTGCCTGGAATGAGGATAGGATAGCTGGTGCTACAGTGGTCATCTTGAGAATATGAGGAAAACTTGATGATGGAAACTAGCACTACAAATGGCTGAGAAAATGGTGAAAGGGGCCTGGGATAAAGATGCCTACTGTCTATAGACAACTTTTCAGGGAGAAATGATACATTTCTGTCTTACTGAAGCCACTCCTATTTCAGGTCTAACTAGAACCAAACACAGTTCCTGACAGATAGAATGCACTTCTCCTACACCTCCATCCTCGTTGGGCACCAGACACCACTTCACCCTTCTCCTCCCCTTTGCCCACTGTCCCTTCTCCGGATACTCGCCATGCTCTCTCCTGCCACTTAGACTTCTAACTTGCCGTTCCCGATGCCTCAATGTTCCTTTCTTCAGGGAGCCATCCTTGACCTGCTTCACCAGGGCAGTTGCTCTGTCACAGGTTCTCAAAGCACCACCAGCCTCTCTCTTGTAGTAACTGGCCCCATGGTGATTTTACAGTCTAGCAGGAGGGACTTTCCTCTGTCCCTCCCACCAGATTACAAGCTCGAGGGAGCCAGGGACTGTGTCCTTTCCTTTTATTACCCCCAAAAGAAAAACAACTAAGTGAAGGCACCAGAAAGGAGTTCCTCAGCAACACCACCCCCCTAGCCCTGGCCATATTTTTAAAATCCCAGAGAAGAATTCTGATTGATTTAGCTCGGGCCAAGTTTCCATCTCAGGACTATGGCTGAGAGCAGGGTCTGTGAGAACATGGCAGCCTCTGTTCAAATCACATGTCTGGAGTAGGGAAAGGAACAATCCCCAAAGAAAGGTGAGGAGATAGATACATGTAATAATAAATGCTTATCCCTTTGAGGCCATCCTTGATGCTTACAGTGGCCTGATCTTACCTGGAGGAGAAGGTGGAGGAAGGAAGGTTCACAGTATAATTTGGCTCAGGTCTTGCATGTTCTGGGAGAGGGCTTGGTCCCCTAACTCTTATATGTAGTAAGGGGATGACCTTGATACATTCCCTCAGGGCCTATTCTCCACTCACTCTCAATAGAAAATGACAATAAGAATGAAAAACTTTGTTTTATCCAATCTTATGACTTCTATTCAAGTCAACAAACACTTAAAATAGAAGCTCTTCACTTAAAGCCCTTCATCCTCTGGGCCCTGCTGCCCTCTCTGACTCCCTTCTCCCCCTCCACACTCCCCCAGCTCCCCCCCACCCCCGCAATCCCTTCCTGTCTTCATTGAGTTCCAGCCACTCTGGCCTCTCTTTTTCAATGCCTGAGCTCAGTCCTGCCTCAGGGACTTTGCACTGCCATTCTGTCTGGAACTCTCTGCCCCTAGATCTTGGCAAGGCTGGCTCCCAGGGAGGCCAAGCCCGTGGAGCTACTATGAACACTATGCACTCTACCTTAGATGCCAGACTACGGGTTGAAATTCAGTCACAGTGCTGCCCACCAAGCTGTGTGGTCTGAGAAGAGGTGCATTTCTTGTCACTAAAGAGCATTCTGTAGCAAATCCAAGAGTCCTTAGGGTTGCATCTGGCTAGAGGGGAGATCTTGGTTTCCTTTGAACACAGCTATATAAGGCTGGCTAGTGGTGGCCCATAGAAAATTATCTCCTTTACTGAATGATGACCCTGTGGCTGAATTGACCCCAGAGCCCAAAACCTTGAAACTGACTGAAAGTGAAGGAGAGGGAATGCCATGGAGTAACCCTGAAAGGTAGTTCTGACTCTGCTCAGTGTCCATGCTCTTTGGTTTAGTCACTTCTTCACATCACGTCTTCACTGTCTCACAAGTATATGCTGAGTTTCTGTCACGTGCTAGGGAGGGATTACTGGTGACCAGCCTCTATCTGTTGGGAGATTAGTCTAGAGGGAAAGAGATACAAATCAAATAATCACACCAACAAGATTTACCATCCAACTGTGATGAGTCTAGGAAGGAGAGGTAGACGGGGCTTTGAGAGCTCATGGTAGGAGGATTTGACCTAGGTTTGGGTGGGGTGTTGGAAAGACTTTCTTGAGAAAGTAACTCAAGCCAAGAATGGAAGGCTGAGTAGGAGGTGACCTGGCAGAGAAAGGATGGGACCTGAAGACCTGGGCCCAGCTCTGAGTGCAAGTCACTGTGGTGCCCAAAGGTGTTTCAAACAATGCTTTTGGGCTTGTAAGAATATGCTGTTACTGGGGCACCTGGCTGACTCAGTCAGTGGAGCGTGCAACTCTTGATGTTGGGGTTGTGAGTTTGAGCCCCACGTTGCCGGTAGAGCTTACTAAAAAAAAAAAAAAAAGTTAAAAAAATATGCTGTTATTCACCACTGGGGTAACATCTGCAGATATTCTGGTAAGTAAGCTCTCAGGGTCAGGGTCAAGGTAGAGCGTGACGTGGTGGCATGCCAGAGTCAGCTCTCTGCTTGCCAGCTGATGATACATGCCTCTCCCAGCTCTATGTTCAGTGGCCTCACATTGGTAGGTTGAAATCAGTATTTTGGGAGTATTTACATTAGAAAAATTGGTGAGCAAACCAGGGCTTTATTTTTTTTCTCCTGGAGAGCTGATGTTGAACATTTACTAGCATGTCATGGAGCATGAATGACCTCTCATAGCCCTTGAGAAGTTACCCAATTTCACAGAGCACCCCAAGTTTTCTTGAAAAGGTTGGATTTGTGACCAAGTGATATGGTGGCTTTTGGATCCTGAGATAGCTGGGAAAAGATGCTGCTGACCCACCTGAGATGGAGTGTGAT